AAGGAGGAGAGAGGGAGGGGGGAGGGAAGGAGGGAGAAAGAAAGGGAAGGGGAGAGGGAGACGGAGAGGGAGAGAGAGAGAAAGAGAGAGAGAGAGAATGAGGAGAAGGAAGGAAATGAATAAGAGCAACTGCCAAAACTGCAGTAATGTTATTATCTTTATTACTAGTGGCCCGGTGCATGAAATTCGTGCACATTAAAAGGGGATTAATTAGAGGAAATAATTTAATATCTCTATTTGCCCTTTCTCTGTAATAGAAGTGTCAGAGATTTGCCAAAACTGGTTTGGCTCAGTGGATAGAGCGTCAGCCTGTGGACTGAAAGTTCCTGGGTTCGATTCCCATCAAGGGCATGTACCTTGGTTGCGGGCACGTCCCCAGTAGGGGGCGTGCAGGAGGCAGCTGGTTGATGACTCTCTCTCTCATCGATGTTTCTAACTATCTCTCTCCCTTCCTCTCTGTAAAAAAACAATAAAATATATACTTTAAAAAAAAAGAAGTGTCAAAGATTAAAGTAATTAGTAAAATGTATATGAAAACCTTCCTCCTGTCAGAGTCTGGGGGGCACCATGGGACTCAGAGTCAAGTCCACGCCTACGCACATTCACCTCAAAATTGTGTGAGACCCAGACCCAGCTGCCCCCTCCCCACTGGGCTAGATCCAGACCCGGCCAGTCCCACCCTTGTCCCCTGGCCCGGGGCCAGGATGGGGGGCGTGGCCTAACATCCCATCAAGTCCCACTTGTTGGGGGGCACGGCCTGAGGTCCCCCTGCCTGGTGCTGGGGTGGGGGAAGCAACCTAAGGTCCCCTAGCCCAGAACCAGGACAGGAAGTGCACCGTGAGGTGCCCTGTCAAGCCCCGCAGGGTGGAAGGATGTGGCCTCAAGTCCCCTGTCAAGCCCCACAGGGGCAGGGGAGGGTGTAGCCTCAGGTCCTTGCTGATTGCTCGTTAAGGCTCCTTATGGGAACTTGGCCTCAGCTGTGGGTGCAGCCATCTTTGTGAAGGAGTGATGGTCAATTACCACATTCCCTCTTTATTAGATAAGATTGCACATTGTCATCTATTTTGCCCCATGATAGACTCAGGGAGAGTATACAGCCCTTAAGCAACTTCCTTACTTTCCTTCAGGCTGTTTTTTCTCTGTTCAGATTGAGCAAATTCTAACAATGTGTCCTCAAGTTCACTGGTTCTATCTTCTGTCATCTCCACTCTACTTTTGAGCCTATCCACAGAGTTTTTGTTTGTTTGTTTGTTTGTTTTTTACCCTTACCAGAGGATATGTTTTTATTGATTTTAGAGAAAGAGGAAGGGAAAGACAGAAACATCAATGTGAAAGAGAAACATCTATCAGTTGCCTCCCGTACATGCCTGGCCCGGAATAAAAATTGCAACCTTTTGGTGTCTGGGATGATGCTCCAACCAACGGAGCCACCCGGCCAGGGCTCATACACTGAGTTTTATTCCAATCATCCTATTTTTCAGTTCTATAATTTCTATAATTGTTTCTTTCTGTAGAAGTCCTATTTGTTTGCTGAGATGTCCCACTTTTTCCATTGGTTTCGAGAGAATTTGTAATTGCTTTTTGAAGCTTCCTTAAAAACTCTTGTCAGGTCATTCCAATCATTCATTGGAAGGAGAAATGGTCACCAAAGATCACCTCAGCCATGACATCTAGAAAAGCCATCCTCCAGAAAAGGAGCTTCCTGGGACGAGGCTTGGGGTGGAAGAGGTTGTCAAAAATTGTCATTGTTTCCTGTATAGTCGGTAACAAAATGAATTCTTAATTGGTTACTAGGTTGAAAAGCATGAATTGGAAAGAAGTCAAGGCGCTTATCCTCAGTGTTGGTGGAAGGCCGGTGTGAGCCACACACACTCCTCCAGACTTTCAGAGAACAAGGAGTCCCCAGCGTAAGGGCCACAGACCCACCGCCCCTTAGAAGCCGTATTAGAATGCATTCTACAGCTCAGCTACACTCCATCTTTAAAGAGCAGCGGCTGCCCAGTTATGTTTTGATATGGCATTCCAGACTCGTCCCCAAGGCAACTCCCTAGCCCCACAACCCAACATGTGTGACTTACTCTCCCCTTAAACGTACTCTTGTGGAAAAAACCCTTACCTAGAAGTTTCTCCATATCTCTGGGTAGTTTTTAGTGACTTACTGACTTAGTTAGCCACAGGTCTCTCAACCCTAATTTCAATATTTCAAAGATCTGCTGTTAAGTGCCTTATTTATGTAATACATCCATCAAATCTCACACAAACTCCTGAATTGACCTCTTAATGGAGATTGTGTTTCTCCTATGTTCTATATAAAAATTTTCTAGATGCACTGAAACAGGTGAGAAATTGCCCCCTCCACCCCCAGGTATATCTGAATGCCCCTTCTAACCAAAGGCAGGATTTCTTTCCAAACTCTCTACCTCCACATGTAATGCTCCAAAAGTCCACAGGGCGGCAGCATGGGGTCTGCTCTGTCTTAAACTAAAAGGCACTAGTTGGGAAACTTCTCAAGCTTGAAGGGATAACCCAGGTAGGCAAGCAGCCAGGGCTCACCTGTGGGAAAGCCCCCAGCTGATCACGCCTCAGCCTCCTGGCTTCTTAAAGGGCCATGCATGCAGTCTGCCTGGTGCAGCTTATGGTACTGCTGGGCTGATGTATTCAAGGGGCTACCCATGGTTCTCGGATGTGGTCCCCTGAAGCAGCAGCATCAGCATAACCCGAGAACTTGTTAGAAATGCAAATTCTCAACCCACACCCAGACCTACTGAATTGGGAACTCAGGGGTGTGGCCCAGCAGTTCCGTATTTTCACAAGCCACCAGGTGACTTTGACACACACATAAGACCCACTCAGTCACCTAAAACCAAAGGTATAACATGAGGGAAAGCCCATCATTACTTGAAAACAATATGAAATGCATATTCTACTAATTCTGATGTCAGTAATAGGACTAACATTTTTATATATCACGGACAAAAATTGATGTTGGGCAGCTATTCCACATCCAGCTATAAGAGAAGGAAAATCAAACCCAGAAACTTTCAGTCTCAATGACTGTGTCTCATACTTCCTTCCCTCAACAACCCTACCCCTGCTCCCAATAATACTACCTCCACTATCCTCTCAAAGAAAAAGTACTGAGGGGAGCATGGGGGGAAACAGCTAGTGGGTTTATTTCTCCTACACATGGAGACAGAACTGAATAGTGCATTTTGTTGCTTTGCATTGGAAAAACAATACCCAATGCTAAACACTCCTTACATTTGTTGTGGTTATTTAGAAACAATATTTCTAATAAACACCTCTTGATTTGTTTTTACTTCCCTTAATTTATTATGACATGTAACAAATCGTTAACATTTTCTAAATGAAAAAGTGAGAAAGCAAATCCCAGGAGAAGCACATGTATATTCATAAAATTATAAAACTAACAGTCCTTGAAGTGAACATGAACTTTCTGGAAAAGATACATTTATATCCTGACTAGAGGCCCAGTGCATGAAATTCATGTGTGTGGGGGGGTTACCCCTCACCCCACTCTGCACCTCTCCAATCTGGGACCATTCAAGGGCAGTTGGACATCCCTCTCACAATCTGGGACTGCTGGCTCCCAACCACTCACCTGCCTGCCTGCCTGATTGTCCCCTAACCACTTCTGCCTCCAGCCTGATCACCCACTAATCATTCCCCTGCCAGTCTAATAGACACTTAACTGCTCAATAGCCCCTAACTGCCCTTCCTTGCTGACCTGATCACCTCTAACTTCCCTCCTCTGCCAGCCTGGTTGCCCCTAACTGTCCTCCCTGCTGGCCTGGTTGCCCTTAACTGCCCTCTCTTGCTGGCCCAGTCACCCCCAACTGCCCTCCCCTGCAGGCCTGGATGCCCCCAATTGCTCTTCCCTGCTGGCTCAGTCACCCCTAAATGCCCTCCCTTGCCAGCCTGGTCACCCCTAACTGCTCTACCTGCTGGCCTGGTTGTCCCAACTTCCCTCCCCTGCAGGTCTGGTCCCTTCCAACTTCTCTCCCCTCCTGGCCTGATCACCCACAACTGTCCTCCCCTGCTGGCCATCTTGTGTCCATATGGGGTGGCCATCTTTGACCACATGGGGGAAGGCATCTTGTATGTTGGAGTGATGGTCAATTTGCATATTACCTCTTTTTATATAGGAGGATAATGCCTTATCTATCCTTCATCAGATCTAGACTTTCAAACATCAAGTGCAAAATAGAGATATAGCAAAGAGCAGTTAGTTTTCAGCAGTCTCACCAACTTTACCTCAAAAGCTGTTTATTGTAAAATAAATCAAAGAAGGAAGATTAAACACCTGAAGTTAATACATTAGAGACAAGATGGAAATCTCAGAAACGCTCAGAGTGACAACTGTTTAGCCTCAACACAGCAGTCATTGAATTTAGATGAACATGATAAAACATATAGGAAGTGAAAGAAAAAAACGCCATAGATATATTTCCCTGACACTATTAAAGGAATATAATTGAGTTCTAGAGTCTCCCTTTATCCAAGGAAAAAACAGTTAAAAATCAACTTCCTCTTAACAAAATTTTTGAGAGTTGATAAGCATCATAATATCCTTCTCAGTCCTCTGCAAAATCACTATAAATTCACACCTTCCTATCCAATGGGCTCTCAATGGGCTCCCAGCCGTCCAACCATTCTCACTGAATCAAACCACTCACGCTCCATACTCTATTTCCAACATTTTCTACTCCCCTCAAACCTGTGCTCGAAGCTCCCCCAGTTTTATCAAACCTCCTTCCGAGTCCCCTCTCTCCATGAACCTATATTCACCCTAACTGGGTGCTCACCCCATTACTACACACAGGCACCTTTGCTAACGTCACCAGTGACTGGGGAGACCACTCAGCCAGGCTTTCCTAGGACAGTCAGTGCATTCCTGTTGTCCCAGAACAATTAATGACAGTGGCCTTTTCCTCTCCGAGCACACTGCCAAAGTTTTCTGGGGTTTTTTTAGTTTTTTGAAGCATACTGTCTTGGCCATCCTCTTCCACTGGTCACCATCCTATCCTCTCTTCTGACTTAACCACCCTTCGACCACCATCCTTAGCCTCTTCAGGTTCATCAGCCTCTTCGGCTCATCACAGTGTGTGGGGGGGTGTCCCTCAGCCCAGCTTGCACCCTCTCCTGGCCATCAATTTCCGAGTTCCTTAAAGCCTTCTCATGTTCTCACTCCATAATTTCCCCATAAGAAATCTCACCACTCCTACAGTTCAGTTCACATCTCTGCAGTGTGACTCCCAAATTCATATTCCGGGTAGGTGTCCTCTCTGAGCTCCAATCCAATGTACTCTGAATCCACTAAATCCACTCAGGATCTTCTGGCACCAAACCTAGGCCCCACCCTGCCTGGCCCTTATCTGTCTCTACAGGAGCCCTTGCAGCTTAATTACCGCCTACTCACATCAGAGCTCGGCTCACACACCACTGCTAGATGAGGGCCTTCCCTAAAACATCCCCGTCCCCATCTGCCAAGGGTAAGCCAGGTTCCTCTGCTGCATACACACTTTCAGAAATCTGTTCCTGGCCTTCAGAGCACATTTCTCAATTTGTAAAACAATAAGTTCATATAATTACTTTAAAGCTATTCCCCGCCCCCACCTGAGCGTGTTCAAGTTTATTTTTTGGTAATCATTACACCTCCAGTGTCTAGCACAATTCTTAAAACGTAGTAGATAGTCAATAAAAATGTGATGAGAAAATAAAGAAATGAGCTCTCTTGCAATGAATCTAAGCATACTGTTTACCTTTGTGCACTAAAATTCCATACATGTCTTCTGGATTCACAATCAGGTTCAAAAGTAGGTTACTGGCAGTAAAATGAATTAAAGCTCCATTACACACAGCAAAAACTTAATTGTACCCAGTGTGAATACTGTCATATAACACATATTGAGATATAACTGGACATATAATGGAGTGCTCGTATTTAAAGTTTTGACACGTGCCAAAACCGGTTTGGCTCAGTGGTAGAGCGTCCGTCTGCGGACTGAAAGATCCTGGGTTCGATTCCGGTCAGGGGCATGTACATTGGTTGTGGGCACATCCCCAGTAGGGGGTGTGCAAGAGGCAGCTGGTCGATGTTTCTCTCTCATCGACGTTTCTAGCTATCTTTCTCCCTTCCTCTCTGTAAAAAAATCAATAAAATATATTTAAATATATATATATATATATATATATATGGCATCAACTAAGTCCAGTTCTCCCATTTAAATAAATAAATAAATAATAAAGTTTTGACACATGTACACTTTTGAAACTATCACCAGAATCATAATACAGTAGGTCCTCGGGTTACGTCAGAGATCCGTTCCTACAGTGCGACATAACACGATTTTCACCATAAGTTGGAACACACCTACTTAAGCACCTATGTTACTCACACATACACAGCAGTAATGAAGTAAAACAGTAAAAGAAAAAAAAAAGAAAAAAAGTAAAGAAAGGTAACAATTCCTGACCTTTACTTGTGGTAAGTACAATGAATAATAAAAAACATAAAGCACATATGTACATACATCGAGATGATGGAACTTTTTTTTTTAATACATGGAAGATGGCGATGTAACCACGGAACAACCTACACCGAGTCGGACGTAACTCGAGGACTGCCTGTGAACATATCGACTGCCCCCAAAGGTCTCCTTGTGCCCCTGAAGTGTCCCTAAGCAAACACTGAACTATATTGATTACACTGCATTTTCTGGGATTTTATACAAATAAGTCACATAGTATGTACTTTTTTGTCTATCTTCTTTTACTCTACATAATTTTCCTCCATTCCCTTTTATTGCTGGGTAGTACTCCATGGATATATCATACTTTCTTTGCCCTTTTACCGGTTGAAAAACATCTGGGCTGTGTCCAGTTTGTAACTATTAAGACAGAGTTGCTATGAACATTTGTGTACATGACTTGGTATGGGCATGTCATTTCCATTTTCTTGGGTAAATACAGAGAAATATTGTAGAATGGCTAAATCATTTAGCAAATGTATGTTTAATATTTAAGAAACTGAAAAACTGGTTTCTAAAGCAGTTGTATGATGTTATATTCCCACTAATGGCCTGTTGCATAAAATTTGTGCACAGTGAGGGGGGAGGGTTTCCTCAGCTCCGCCTGCACCCTCTCCAATCTGGGGCCCCTTGGGGATGTCTGACTGCCAGGCAGCCCTCTCACAATCCGGGACCACTGGCTCCTAACCGCTCGCCTGCCTGCCTGCCTGATTGCCCCTAACTACTCTGCCTGCCGGCCTGATCACCTCTAACCGCGCTGCCTTGGCCCTGCCACCATGGCTTTGTCAGGAAGGTCTCCAGGTCTAATTAGCATATTATCGTTTCATTAGTATAGCATGGGAGGTCTCTCCTGAAGGGAGTCCCGGACCAGGGTGGGGGTTCCCTTGGGGGGACAGGGCCAGCCTGGGCAGGCGTTGATGGCTGTGCCCTATCCCCCCAAGGGTGAGAGTCCCTGCTAGGGGGCGTGGCCAGCCTGGGCAAGTGGCTGAGGGCCTTTTGGGGGTGGTTTGCAGGCTTTGTCCGGAAGGTCTCTGGAAGGTCTCCCAGTCTAATTAGCATATTACTCTTTTATTGGTATAGATGAGCAGTTCCTTCACATCCTCACCAACACTTGGTATAATCGATCTTTTATATTTAGCCATTTTAATAGGTGTAGACTGATATCTTCCTGTGGTTTCATTTTTTTAAATCTTTATTGTTGAAAGTTTTATAAGTGTTCCCTTCTCCTTCCCCACTGATCCCCTCATATTTCCCTAATGATCAATAATGTTGAACATCCTTTCATGTGAGTGTATATCTTCTTCGGTAAAGTGTCTACTGAGACTACTTGTCCATTTTTTAAATTGGGTTGTTTGTTTCCTTACCACTGAGTCTTAAGAGTTCCTTATACTTTATTCTTAATTGTTTGATAGAATTCACCAATGAAGCCATCTGATCTGGAATTTTCTTTATCAGAAGCTTTTTAACTACAAGTTTAAATTCTCTAATAAATATAGAGCTAATAAGGTTATCCAATGAGCTTTGATAGTCTGTGACTTCCATGAAAATAGTACATTTTGTCTAAATTGTAGAATTCATTGGCATAAAAATATTTATAATATCCAATTATTATCCTTTTATATTAAAAAAGAAACGTGTATTGTGTCTTCTTTCCTTTTTTTCCTGATCTAAGTGGTTTGTCAATTTTATTGACTTTTCTCAAAGAACCGGCTTTGTTGATTTTCTTTTCTGTCTATTTCACTGATTCCTATTCTGTTATTGACTATTCTCTTTTCTCTATTATTTACTTTGGGTTTAACTTGCCTTTATTTTTCTAGCTTCTTAAGTTGGGAGCTCCATTACAGACAACAAAAGGCTTGATTATGTGCAGGGTGAGTACTCTCTCACTCTCAGAATATTGTTTGAACAATTCACCAACAATTCATATGCTTAAGACTCACACCAAAAGAAAACATGATTACTGTTATTTATTTGAAGAGCCAGCCTTGGATCGCTGACATGGCAGTTCCTCAGATTCAAGCTAAGTAAATGTGCTTTGTTGGAGGGACAATAAGTGAACTCTTATTCTTCTCCATTTGTCATTAGTTGATCAAGTCTGCAAGATACTCAACTCCAGTCTCTTGTCACTTAAAAGTACGGCTTCTGTGGTCCTTTCTAGAAGTTTAACCTTTGCCACAAGTCTGTCAAGAATTTGACCACATCCTATTTAGAGAGCTTGTTTTCAAATAGAACTAACAAATAGAACTATGACCAGAAAATGTCATGTTTCCATGAGAAAAGATCTGTTACCAGCAGCAAGGTTTTATGAGAATCATTGTACAAACACAGGTCTTGAACATGGCAATTTCTTCAGCACCATAGAAAGATCACAGTGATGTTACTCAAGAAAGAGAGACCTAGTCGAAACCGGTTTGGCTCAGTGGATAGAGCCTCGGCCTGTGGACTGAAAGGTCCCAGGTTCGATTCCGGTCAAGGGCATGTACGTTGGTTGCAGGCACATCCCCGGCAGGAGGTGTGCAAGAGGCAGCTGATCGATGACTCTCTCTCATCGATGTTTTTGACTCTCTGTCCCTCTCTCTTCCTCTCTGTAAAAAAATCAATAAAATATATTTTAAAAAAGAAAAGAAAAGAAAGAAATAGAGACCTAGAATAACATTCCAGATGTCCTGATGGTCTCTTCCGCCTCCTGGAGAGCCAACCACAGAGGTGAACAGCAGCGAGATGATTCCTCTGAAGCTCCTAGTTTTCCAACAAAAGCACTGTAATATTCTTCCTTAAAGCGAATGACAAAGTCATAATCTTTTGGCACGTGTTCAGAAAGCGATGGGCTTTTTCAGAAAATCTGCATTCTTGACAAAAGATTTCTGAGTAAACTGGCTAACTGCAGCTGGATACTTACAAGTCTCCTATGCACTCGAACTATTTTAAGGACAGGAAATAGGTGGGAAAGCGTCTTCTTGGCATAGGATCTTAGCATTGAAGCACTCAGAAATGAGGAGGAAAGGCCATCCTGGGTCAGGGTATTTATAAATAATACCAAACTTGACCATTTTAAAGAAGGCGTTTACTAACAAACATCATACTTCCAGAACAAGGTGCTGCTGCAGGAAACTGCAAACTCGGAGCAAGCCTGAAACTCTGGATTCCCGTTCTACACTAGAGTAATTTATATAAACAGGAAGAGGCTTAAATTACTTTCACATACCCTTTTTGGGGTTCTGAATTACAGCTTCTTTGGAGAAACAATAGGACTATTCTGAGCCCCCTTTAAAAAAAAAAAGCTGTCCCAAGTGTTACTAACAAAGTTATGTACAAAACTCCACTTCCACTCTCCATCTTGGTGCCAATTATCTATTGCCACCGTAAGGCGGAGGGACAAGCAGCCACAGAAGCTCAGTGGCAGGCTGAAATGAGCATCTGTTCTTGTCTGTGAGGCCCTGGGTCACCTGGGCAGTCCTGGTCTCCGGGGGCTCGCTCATGCCGCACTGGTCAGCTCTGGTTCAGGTGGCAGCTCGCTGCTCTTGGCTGGGCTCTGTCCAGTGTTGAGGGCTGGAGGGCTGTAGGTGGGTACAAGAGGCCTCAGCAGGGACAACTGAGCTTTCTACCATGGGGTCTCAAACCCTTGCATATCTAGTCCCTGGGCTGGTCCTCAGGGTGGAGGCGGGGTCTGAGAGAGCTGGAGAGATGCAAAGCCTCCAGAGTTCTAGGAACAAGCACACGTCACTTCTGCCACGTTTCACTAGCCGACTCAGATTGAAGAAGTGAGAATGCGGCTCCACCTCTGGATGGAAGGAGCTGCAGTGTCCCTCTCCGAGGGTCTTGGCTGCAGGGAGCGGTGGTCAATTCAGGCCCGTTCTGTAACCTACCAAGCTCCTCCTCTCGTTTGCTTGCGCCCTAGGAGGCGGACCTCTAGGGAGGCTGACCTTTCTGCATCACTGCCACAGAGCCCTCGCCCAGCACAATCCTGCAAACACCATTCATTTAGACTGAAGTATGAATGACTCTCCCTAGACTGTGCATAAACTACACAGTCATATGCAACTGCCCTCCGTTAACCCATCGCCAAGATGGCAAGTTGGGGCTAGATGACCTCCTGTGAGTTCCTTCACACTGAGAATTCACAAACGCTTTGCACTTAAGGCCTTATCGTTTCCCTTATGACCTGCCTGCAAAAGTGGTACAGAAAACATGCATGCGTGTGTGCATGTGCTTCTGTGTGTATTACATAACACACTAGCAGCAAGCACATAACATGAACCCAATAAATAAGTGTGTGTTTTTGTGCATATGATGTATACACTAGCGTGCACAGAGTAGGAATCCAATAAATCCGTTAATTAAATTTAAATAATTTAAACAAATGTGTTGGAAATGCATCTTTACACATCCCATGTAAACATCCTTACCCTTTCTCCCTGGCCTTTAG